AAAGTACACTATGAAGTTAAATCCAACCTAAAAACATCTTTTTAAATACTTAAACGTTTCTTCTCAAAAAAATTTTATATTGTATTGTTTAGTTTTGTTCTGTATAATTTATTTTTCTTCTTTATAGATTTTAATAATCCTTGGTAATTTTTGGTTATTCTTGCATTGGTTGACTGTTTTACTGAGATCGTTTATCGTATACCTTTTTGAAGATTTCCACCGAATAAGTGTATAGCTGCAGTTGTAAATAAATGACCAGTACAACTTTGATACCAAATTTCATTGTCCTAGTTCYGTTTAATTAKTTCTGGTTCCTTTTGTTATCATKAACCACACAAAATTAAACGTTTGTATGTRGTCACTCAACCATAAAATCGATTATATCTCCGCTATAAATAGGACACTCAACTAGGACACTCAAATTTAGCAAGAATGCATTGAAAATGATGCAGTACTTGTAGAATATGAAGTCAGTTTTAAAATCTCTAAAATTGTTTTGTGACATCATCACTTCGGTACTATATTTTTCTTATAAAAATCATTGCTACCACTTCAAAAACACTATTAAAAATATGAAAAAATCTTTCTTATTGGTTTTTGAATAGGTACCAAGTAAATTGGAAGTCCATTGTTGAATCCCTGCTGCTATCTTTTTACATCTACTGACTAACGACTTACAACCAACTAATTGATCAGCCCACGCGTCACACTACTTCAAAATTAAGTTCAAACAGCTAAAGCAGCGTTTGCCTGAAAGAAATTTCATTTTCCCCAACCCTAAACCAATCTATTTAATTTTTTTCTTTGTTAAACGAAATCGCACCCTTTGAAATCGCCTGAATCCGCCCATCGCCATCCACTTAATTTACCCTGAATTACCGTACGACTTTGCATTAAATAAGCTCCTTTTTGCACTTGAATTTAAGCTTCAAAGTTTTGTACCCGCGTAATATAGTTATACAAGAATTATGAGAGGCATATAACGCACACGTCAAATCGTGGTTGGGTGCTAAATCATAAATTGTTAAGTATGTTTGAGGTACATGTATATGTTATTTATATTGATATTAATGAAAAAAAAAACACTTCGCCCCGAGCTAAATTCTTATTATATCTGCTTTGCTGGTATTGGATTTAACATTTTTTCAGAAACTTGTTATTTCAAGCTGAGTGACATCGATATTTTACCGTTTTTTCTAAGGTCTCTTCAATGCTGTTATTGCTATAGTAATATTGATATATGCATATACCATGACGTCACGTCTGCTGTTTATTTCCTATACTGACACTTTCCTATCCTGTTTTTGCACTGCTCATTTGAACGGCTTTTTCGTCATCTTTTATTTTCAAAACAAGACGCCATTACAGCTGCGGAAACCAAGCGACCAAGAAGTTTTAACATTCGATGGRCGGAATATGGGTCTTTCTTCGAGTACTATTAAAAAAAACACACTTTAATTCCGATATATTTATTAAATATATTCTACCAATAAATTTCGTACATCTGTGAAGTCTATAAAAACTTCGAGGTCGCGATGCAAGAGTTTTATTGATGTAATTAGCTAGTATATTTATAGAAAACCAGGGCGGATGCAAGAAATAGCGTTAATTTGATGTTATTCATAAGACATATGGCTCTACATGATTAATGTTCATTCTTTTAATCATCKATTCAGTGTTCAGTTATAAAAGCCGCAAGTGTGACTGGAAGTTTACTTTACTTGTGTTCAAAGCAAAGACCCAAAACATGAACAAGACTCTCTTCACCGTTTCTATTCTAATCGGTATGCTAACCTTCACTGTAGGAAGAAGTATTCTAAGAAAAAATCCAAGAAACTTTGCATTCCCAGAATCTTCTGTATATATACGGAAACAGTCCTGTGTCCCTTGGGTTAGACGAAATTGCGGTATGTATTCTCTCTTGTTTTCAAAAGACGACAATCTCTATTTATAGAATGTTTTCTACCTTATTCTATATCACTATGTTTTGAGGTGTTCCCTCTCAGTAGTTTTTCGACGAAATATTTCATCGCATGAATTCTTAACGCCGCAAACAGGGCAATGCCGAGTATTTTCTATTAATAATTCCCTTTAAGTTAATTCAGGTCTATAAATCGATAAAATAGCATGTTAATGTTGATCTTTTTCCAGAAGTGTTATTTTCCCGTATTTACATGTTTCTCTCTTCTCAACAGCCAAGATATCATTTCGCAAATATCTTTCTCAGCAGCCTCCTTACACCAACGACGTGTTTGCCGATTCATTGGACTAAATGCATACTAGTCATAGACAGAAAGAAGAAGGTTTCAACATGGACTAGTATATCTTGCATATATATAATATACATGCACGTATTCCAAAAACTTTGTCGGGAATAACAGCGAACGGCAATTGTCGAGCGGTGATTACATGACCATGGGACTTCGGTTGCCCTGTTTAACTTACAAAATTTCACTTGAAGATTAACCTTGGATTAAACCTTGGATTAACCTTATAAGTTTGTAATCATCATTATCACTGTTTGTAATTTCGAAATAATGCTTTCGTTCACAATCCCGAGACACATTCAAGAGATCATAATCTCCCAAGCAACTAGGACAAGGATGAGTTAATATATAAAACTGCATCTTAATTAAAAATGGTCTATGTTATTGTAAAAAATCTATTTCGTAATGCACACTCTTGAGAAAGATTTCCAACACTCCAAAAAAAATCGTACCTCAGCGTGCGTATGTAATAAGTCCCGTTCATAAATAAAAATAAATGAGTGAAATATTAACCAACTTAAGTGAAATATTAACCAACTAACCAAAGTGCACAAACGGCAGGGACGTCGGAAACCGCGATACTTCAGAGGCGGAACAGGGTGTTGTGAATAGCTCTAAATAATCAAATACTGCTCCACAGTCCCTAAGCAATTGTACGCGGTTTCGATTCAATAACTTCCTGGCAGCTTTAATGAGGTTTATGTCATAATTTGTCTGTCTATAGTATCAATTATCATTAATCTTCGTTTCTTTTCAAGTTGCAGGAGAGTTCGTTTCTATAAAAAAACAATGAAGATTGATTAGTATCCAGTAATCTTTTGGGAAAGAAGATATAGGGACTGGTTTGGATCTTGCGGTAGTCAACCACTTTTTGTGGGTCTCAAAGCCACTTAATGATTTCAAACCATTCTCAGTCTTATTCAGGGGACGGATAAGAAATTTCGAAAAGAAGGGAGGTCACACATATAGATTCTGCGTCCGTTGAGRCGACAGATCAAATGTTTTTAAAAATATGATTCAAGTAAAACGTCCTTAATATTTTTCTTTAATTTTATGTTTTGAATTATGATATTTCATAAAAAATAGTACAATATTATCACTACCTACAATACACATGAATATACAATGAGATATGGRCAGGTCTGAAAAGACTGCTGGCHACGAAAGTGGACAGCGGTATATCCATGAGTGTTGTAGGTTCCACACGCCATGTCGGGGGTAGGGTGGGTGGGCGAATTAAACCAGTATGTGTCCGTGGTTTGAATCGGAATGAACAAAGCGTGCAGATCACGCTTATTCATGCACTGCAAGGCATTATGGGATATCTATTGTTATGCTAATTTCATGCTTTATTTCCGGTAGTGAAAATAGATATACAAATAAACCAGAAATAACATTTTTGAATAGTCCAACAGTTTGTTCGATATGAATCCAAAACAATACTCGAGAAATTTTGCACGTCAGCCGACTTTTTGAAAGCACACTAACAAAGCTGGAACCCTCCCCTCCCCTCCCTCATGAAACCCGTGCACACGCCCCTGAACACTTTTTTGTACTGATCGCGTACATGGTAAAGATTGGGAACTAACCAAAATATTCAATTCGGTGTTCGGAAGACGCACATCCTCAAGCTATCGTGGCAATAGTATGACTGGCAAGCTGGAGAAATCCGACAATGAGCGTCATACATGCATGAATCAAAAAGTTTATCACAACCACGCTTTTCCTAAAAATGGAAACAAAGAGAAAAATGAACTCAACAATAAAAACTTGCGATTTTTAAGCTTCTAGTGAGAAAGAAGCAAAGAAAGTTATACTGATAAAATTGACATACAAGAACAGGTTTTATTTAGCCAAAATCTTTACCATAAATCCTTAGTGAAGAAGCTCTTTCATTTCTGCTGGTGCACACATTGACTCCGCAATGAAATAGCAAGCGACGAGAAGCAGAAAACATCTTGCCGTGGAACACATGTCGCTGTCAGAAAAAGCCAAACACAATTTCAGTCTGTCTCGCCTGTGCTGCGTGTAAAACTGACAGGAGGAGCCGACGGGTTCTGTTCTTCTAAATAACTGTTCTTGTACGAATTTTTTCCTGGAAAGGGATTTTGAGCTACATTGTGCTAGTTGACAATCTCACAAGCAAATGTGGCGCCCTTCCTTCTTTAAAATAATTTTGTTCTTGGAATGTTTATTTTCAAGGTCAAAAAAGGCTTATATAACGAGTTTATGGTCAAACTAACACCTTACGATTTTTGTTAGGAAATTTTTATTTTCCTGGCAAAAATTCTTAGAAATTATTCCATGCCTCACCTGGAGAGTTCTTAGTATACCTGATATAACACTCTCTCTCGTGTTTTAAACTATACATAAAAAATACCTTATATTATCATTTTTCTATAAATGTGCTTGCTGTCAGTGAACCCTATAATTCTCTCTGTCTTTTCGTGTTCTCATAAATAATACTACTACAGAGACATTTAAAAGTTAAATCACAATTAGTAATTATCTGGTGATCTTCGAAAAAATCGACAGTCATAAAAGATGTTGTAAGATACAGCATGTCTATCCGTCTGGAAAAAAATGGATGTGACAATCATCAGTATGAATTTCTTTCTTGCAAGCAGTAAAGCTCCTACAGCTGTATGTGAAAAAGGAACGAAAAAAAGCAACACGAGGTGTTCACAACATTCGTCTTTGTAAGATCTCATTATTTTCTTTTGATATGATTGTAAAAATCATAATAACTGTTGATTGATACCTGGGTAGATATGCACGATATTTGGAGAGTCTTCGGCCTTAGTGTTGATAGACTTTCCAATTTCTCAAAATATACTGCACACCGTCCAAACGGAAAGTGGTTTCAGGAGGCACTTTCCTTTTCAACCAGTGCAATATAATTACTCCTGAATTAAATTTTAGGATCTGAACTAATTAGTGAGGATTAATTAGCGTTATCTACAAATCACTTGTATATGATATTCAGAATCAGTATCTGATAAATAAGGATATTACATGGGCGCGCGGAGATAAGGATTTTATCTTCGAGTACATGTTTATAAGATCTAGTCTCGCAAATAAGCTTACCTGAATTGAAATATTGTTTCTTGTATACCTGTTGTGACTGACCGACTCGAGTCAATTTGAACGTTAAGGACGTACTAGACGATCATCAGTTTTTGCATGGCATAACCCTAGCAATTAAAGTACAATTCAATAACTTCTGATGCTTAAATGAAATAGTAAATTAGAAAGGTTTTGCTGAACGGATTTCGATAAGCTCATTTACTGACGGCTCTACTATGAATTGAGGTCATATCAACTTCTAAAAGATAATTAATAGGCCCGGTTCATACATCGTGCTTCATGCGTCGAAAGATGCATCGTAGCTGAAGAGACAATTATCGTGAAAAACAACCTATGAAAGCAAGTGGACAAGTCGTCCACTATTTGTAGCCCAATATTAACAAATATTTTATGGATGTGATTTTTGGAACATTACTCGAAATCGAACAGATGAATTTGTTTTCAACTTTTCCAAAACGTTGTGCAATAGTTTGAAGTTAATGTTGATGCCTACCGCTTTTCTGGATCTCATCAATTTTTTGAGATATTTGGCAAAAATGAATTGAGACAAAATGCGATGACCGTTGCCTAGGTAACGTTAATGGAGCTAAATATTATGCCAAGCAAAACATTGATCAATGCTTTATTAGTGTTTCAAACACCAAATAAATTGGTGCATGGCAAGCTTTTCAAAAAGCGAATTTAAAAGGAGAGGTATGGTCGAAAAAAAACTATATGGACGCCACCTTAATGGCTAAGACCCAGACATCTATTGTAGAATGATTACAAGTCAACAAATTCGTCGATATTTGAAACCACGGGAAAAGTAATCTTAAAACTAGCTAAATCAAAATTAATGACAACATGACATCATCCAGTACAAAGTGATTATTTGTTGTACTGAAAACATGTTCAGTTTCCGATGTATAAGTTATGGAAAATAATCACTTGTATTTTAAAAATCACTTTAATAAAGAAGTACTGCCATGTAGTCGCTCGAACATGTGTCGGTTCTGTATAAACTATAAACAGTCATCGTGGATATAAGAATGATGAATGGAACACTAAAAGGACAAAACTTATTGCCGGAATTTATAGATTTTAGTCTGCCATTTATTTCTTCTTCCCGCGCCCGATGTTTGCCGCGGATTTGCCGCGCGCGCGCCCAACCGAAGTGACTTCTCGTTGGTCCAAAAAATGTAAAAAATAGCCGTCAAACCCGTGAAACCCCAACCCCAATAATTCCCTTCTGACATCTTTTATTTTTATTTGCTTTTTAAAAAATGTGAAAATCGAAATTCAATAAAATGTCATTTTGACCTTTAATAACTAATAGGTTTTTGCAGTGTCAAGGAATATTTTTATAGATTTACTGAATATAGCATATGTTTTCAAAGCCCCCAAAATGCTGGAAATCCAATAACCGAGGTTCACAATTTCCAAAGTTCCTGGTCCTCCCTTCATTCGTTGATTCAGCCTTCAGTGGTCGTTAATTCACCCCACTCCCTCACTCCACSACCAATACGAAGATATGCTCCTGTTGTTTTGCGCCTTCATTTGCTAAGTCAGCATTAAACGATCTGTTTAAACAATAAAACTATTTGATTCCCTAGTAACTGAACCTACTCTGCTTTATACGGCAGGGAAGTCTGGGGCATCGACAGCTAGGCGGAAATTCAATCCACGTAAAATCGAACAAATTTAGTCCACGTAAAATTCTGCAAAATGTTATATGGGGGTTGGAGAAACTCCACAAACTCAGCATTGGTCAACGGCCAATGCATTTACATGCAAAGCTAAGATCGATTAAACTCTGACTAACATTGAAAAATTGAGGACATACCAGGGGACATACGGCTCAGAATAAACTGCACATATTAGCTGGGTGATTTGAGAAAATGCGACTAGCCAATCAGCGCAAAGCTGACAAGCTTATGTTGTAAACATAACCCYCCGACGGGAGGAATTTGCACAGCAAAACTCGACCCAGTGGAGTAGGCTGCCCGCCCTTTTATTCTATCCGAAAAATAAAAGCTAAAACGCAAAGAGAAATTGAAAATCTTTATAAAATAGCTTTTATTAAAAGTCAATCAAATATTTATCGCTATAGAAATAGAATTTTATATTAAAAATGAAATAATAAATGATTTTTTCTTTAATACCAAGAGACTTCCCTCCCTGATAAAAATAATTGTTCTGTGTTCTACGCGGGTTCTYCATTGCATGCGAAGCAATGGCCGACTTCACGAAGACTTCAGAAGGTCGTTGAAGCRACGTTCAATTCCAAAGTATCTTAGGAGGAACCATTGCAAATCCTTTTTCTTAGCTCTTGTTTCCTCTAAGCTTTGAGGTATCTACAACATCACGGAAAGAGCTAGAGCAGCTTAGCTCCACGTATTCCAATAGAGTTAAACCGTTTGTTATGTTTGGTAGTGACAACAGTTCGTAGTTCATCCTTTGTAGCATTTTCGGCAAAGAGCCGTAAGCGTGCTCGAAGATACAACAGGTTGACGTTATTTAACAGGTCGGTTACACATTTACTAGCTTTGACCTTACAACGAGAGCTAAAACGGTGACTGGGGTTTTTCGTGTAATGTCTTGATAGCGACTGTTTATGTTGAAACGACTCAAAACAAAATTCCATCGTGAAAAAAGTTCGACTAAATTCCCATCTGAAAAACACGTGTGTATTTAAGGTGGAAAATGTTTGATATGAGNTTGTTTAGTTATACAAATAAATTTAACACGACTTGTACTGTTTGTCTGAGTGAAAGGCGAGCTGCGGGTTCTTCCCTTTTTTTTCTTTACACTTTCAAATATGACCGCTTAACAAAAATGCACGGGCTCACTGGCTTACAACCTTGGCGAATTCATATGCAGGCCTGGTCGCAAATCAATCACCCAGGAAGTACAAACACGGCGGAGGACCCTCTTCAACGACGAAACAAAACTAAGTCAGAACATATCGCTTATAATCATTACAATTATTTGGACAATGCAAATGTATCTGGGTAATGAAAAGCACCAATTAAAAACTAAACAACTACGCGGTTACGATTTGATAATTTCTTTGCAGCTTTAATGAGGTTTAGTGTCATCTTTTGTCTGTCTATTGTATTAACTAACATTAATCTTGGTTTCTATTCAAGTTGCAGGAGAGTTCGTTTCTATAAAAAAAAACAATGAAGATTGATTAGTATCCAGTAATCTTTTGGGAAAGAAGGTATAGGAACTGGTTTGGATCTTGCGGTAGTCAACCACTTTTTGTGGATCTCAAAAGCAACTTAATGATTTCAAACCATTCTCAGTCTTATTCAGGGGACGGATAAGAAATTTCGAAAGGAAGGGGGGTCACATATATAGATTTTGCCTCCGTCCAGGTCTTGAGAGATGAAACGCTTCAATTTGAAGTCTTTATTGCTTACCTTATGGCATAAATGTTAACAAATATGATTCAAGTAAAACGTGATTCATCTTAAGATTATGATACGGTTATTTGAAATAATTCTCTGACCAACCTACACTAATATTCATAAATATCAAGCTGAACTTTAATATTATGGGACTGATATCATAACTGATATATCTTTTTAATTGACCAGAATAAATACTTTTAAAAAATCAGGAATGATATCCCATAATTTCTAAGGCTACATTAATATATATGAATAGTAGCGTGAGTGGGTCGGAATTATTTCAAATAGCTGTACATATTCGGTAAAAAATACAAATAAACCATCGGACTCATTCAAACGTATAACATTTTTGAATTGATGGTTTTCAACCATTCCCAGGAGAGAAAGTTAAACAAAAGATGTCCGCCATTGCTGGTGGACCTGACAAAAGAAAACCACCACCGTGACTGGTGGACCTTTTTGTTTTGCTCACTCTCATGGGAATGGTTGAAAACCATCAATAGTCCAACAGTTTGTTCGATTTGAATCCAAAACAATTTTGCAGATTTTGCAGTCAACCGACTTCTTCATAGCTTTGAAACCAAAAGACAAAGCTGGAACCCTTCCCTTCCTCATGAAACCCGTGCACACGCCCCTGATCACTTTGTTGTATTTGATCGCGTACATAGTTAAGATTCGGAACTAACCAAAATATTCAATACACTGTCAAAGAATTGCACGTTTTTATCAGGCGCAGATCCCGTCGACTTCTTCGCAATAGTACGACTTGCAAGCTGGAGAAACTTGACAATCAGCGTCAGTTGTGCATGTATCAAAAACTTTATGACAACCACGCTTTTCCTAAAAATTGAAACAAAGTGAAAAATGAACTCAACAACAAAAACTTACAGGTTTAAAGTTCAAGACCTATACTTCAGGACTTGATGAATATTGATGGTTTTCAACCATGAGAGATTCAAAAGATAAAAGACTTGAGGCCATGTTGGAGGAATGAACAATAGATAGTAATATAATGAGAAATCCTTTGTTGGAGTTCCTCCAAGATGGCCGCTGTGACGTATAGTGAAAACGAAGAATTGAAGACCTTTTTCCAGGGTTTTGAGTTTATCCACTCGTACTTCTTACCGTTATATAAGGATTTGACTAGTTTATAAATAAACGCGCAGGGTCTTGAATTTKAATGAAAACTCCAGTCCGAACGTTTTCTGACTGCTTATTATACTARGTTCATATGTCTTTTTATCGCGCAAATCATGCGATTTTCGTTCAGTTTTATAGTTAATAAGATTGCAAATCAATAAAAATTTAAACATATCATGCAGTTTCATGATAAATATGTTTTGACTTTAATCTGAGATACCAGCAGCTCTACATTTTGACTTAAATCTTCGATTGACCATGAACGGTGTTATATCGTAAGTATACAGGTACAAAATCACGGATGACGCCATTTTTGAGGGAAATATAAAACAATTGCATTCGCTATTCTCACTAGTGAAAATAACAACTTCACCAAATGGAGAAATAAAGGTATTTCATAGATGTAGAGGATATTACATGGGCGCGCGGAGATACGGATTTTATCTTCGAGTGTTGAAAAGATCTCTCACGAGTGAGCGTTTATCATATAATTACATATGAAAGCAAATTATGTCGTAAAATGCCTTTTTTTTCTTACTTCCAATATAGGGAGAAACCTCGAATGTGTTATTTTCACAAAATAACATGTTATTTTCACTAGTGAAAATATCAATTTTACGAAATGGAGAAATATAGGTATTAAATAGATAATTATATTATAAAATTATATCATAAAGATATATTCACACAAGAGCAACGATAATGCTACTCGACTTCGCCTCGTGTCGTTTTTTGTTCTCATCAAGTAAAGTAGCGTCTTCTGTGTGTCTATTATAGCATACAAGCACGGGAAAATGGAGTCTATTCGTAAAATCTGCCCCTTTCATGTGAGTTAAAACAGCTTCATCTCGAGGACAACACAAAACAATTTTGCTCTCTTGGGAACTAGACATTGTTTTGTCTGCCAGGTAGCCCTCAACTCCTTCAATTTTCAAAGGGAATTTCTTAGCCACCAGAATTTCTTCAAATGACTTTATTTAAATTCTACTAATAAAATTGACATACAAGAACTGTTTTTAGCCAAAATCTTTACCATAAATCCTTTGTGAAGAAGCTCTTTCATTTCTGCTGGTGCACACATTGACTCCGCAATCAAATAGCAAGCGACGAGAAGCAGGAAACATCTTGACGTGGAACCCATATCGCTGTCAGAAAGAGCCAAACACAATTTTAGCCTGACTCACTTGTACTGTGCGGTGTAAAACTGAAACTCACTAATGGCCATTTTTATAATTCAAAATTGATATATACAGAGTATTCAATGACCATTGTTCGGAAATACGGATTTTATCTTCGAATGTTTAAAAGATCTCCCGCGATTGAGCTTACCTGAATTGAAATGTTGTTTCTTGTATACTTGTGTGACTGACCGACTCCACTTGAACGCTAAGAACGTACTAGATAATCATCATAGCTTGATGTACATTTTATAACCCTCATAATTAAAGCAGAATTCAATAACATCTGATGCTTGTATTGAATGAAACAGTAAATTAGAAAGGTTTGATTGAAATTACGTTAACCCGCTCCTGTAATAACAGCAATGCATTGTGGTCATATCAACCTATTGCACTTCTAAAAGATACCTTAAAACATGTTCATTTTCCCAGTTTGCTTGCAGTCAGTGAAATCTATATTTCTCTCTGTATTTTCGTGTTCCCATAAATAATACTACTACAAAGACATTTAAAAGTTAAATGACTCAATTAGTGATTATCTGGTGATCTTCTGAAATAAAGGCCCATCATCAAAAAGATTGCATGATACAGCATTTGGACACTCGAATATTTCCTTCTATCCATGCACGTAAAATATTGATGTGACAATCATCAGTATGGATTTCTTTCTTGCAAGCAGTAAAGCTCCTACAGCTGCATGTGAAAAAGGAACGAAAAAAACAACACGAGGTGTTCACAACAGTCGTCTTTGTAAGATCTCATTATTTTCTTTTGATATGATTGTAAAGTTCATAATAACTGTTGATTGATACCTGGGTAGATATKCACGATATTTGGAGAGTCTTCAGCCTTAGTATTGATAGACTTTCCAATTTCTCAAAATATACTGCGCAAACGGAAAGTGGTTTCAGGAGGCGCTTTCCTTTTCAACCAGTGCAATTTGATTACTCCTGAATTAAATTGTAGGATCTGAACTAATTAGTGGGGATTAATTAGCGTTATCTACAAATCAGTTSTATATAGTATTTAGAATCAGTATCTGAAAAAAGTTTTTACGACAATTGCTTCCGTATATACATCAGATACCATAATCAACAACATATGCATTATTTCTAGAACATCTTATATCTGTCGAACTCAGACGCGATACACAACAAAGTCATTATTTTTGATTACAGTTTATTGTAAATTAAACATCCTATTTACAGARGAATAATACTATCCATTTTAACGTTGAATCGTATATGAAATAAGCCGCTASCAATCCTGTTACAAAATTTCAAGGCTAATATTAAAAGGCTACAAAAATATAACATTGCTGGATTACACGACGACCATATTGATAGTCACTTGAACAAGACTTCTTTTTGCACTTGTCTGGTGTTCATATGACCAATATGGACGTACACCTTATGTCTTTTGAACTAGGGAGATCGAAAACCACGATGTATTCACCGGAATTAGTTTATATCCAGCGTTTACTAACTCTACCTGCTGGTTCATACTAATCTGTTCTTAATATAATCTACAGCAGCTGGAGTTGGGTCCAGGAACTAAATGGAGTGTGGGCCATCTTCATCAGAGAGTGTTTTTATAAAAGCCTTTGAAATACACTTYAGCATACTGCACTTTATTCTTTGTGTCTTCTGGTTATCGCATTTTTTCACATTTGACTATTGTACATGTTTCACGGCTTTATGAAAACCACTCTAATGTCATGTCTTTCTATGGATGTGCACCACCCCGCGCTAGATCCCCTTTATATGTGTACATAGTAACAACTTATTTACCACTTTTGTATTATATATCATACTGTATACATTCGCCATGACCTCTACATGAATACATAAGAAATATTTGATGCTTTCTGACGATAATATTGCAAAACTTCGYGCAATTCAATGATTTCACGTGGAAGACAACATCTCTGATGTGTTAGTTACACTCGCAACTTTTACCTGCAATTGTCAATGCAGCCTGTACATGAAAAGTTCTATCAATGAAAAGCCTACACTGCCCTTGAAGCATAAATTAACAGCTCGTTACATTGCTTCTTACAGGTTCTTAGTTTTGATATTGTGGTTCTCTATTTAACTAATGTTATATCAGAGATAAAATTGGAAATAACTTTTATAAATGCTTACTATGGACTAGTCTTATTACGAAAAATTATGAGCTGAATGCAGCGCGTAGGTTGCTTACAACAGCAGACAAAAGTTGCACAGTTTTTAACATATTTAAAAACCTTGGTCGACTTCAAAGTATYACAAAAGCAAAGGAATGATTGCAAGTAAAATCATAAAGATAACGCTGACCCTTGCGACTGTGCCCGCATTGCAGTAATCGCCTTCGCAGCAGTACACTTCGCAGTTAGTTCTCCCGGGTTCTGCTCTGCAGTAGCTGTCTGGATCGTTGCAGTAGCTATGAGCGATGCAGCCGCGGAAAAACCTCTCCACCCCCTTGACTTTATTGACAGTTTTGGCGCATGTGAATGATCCGTCACAGTCCTTTCGACTACGTTTCTGGAAGCAGTTGAGATCGCTGGTTCTACTTTCACAGAAGTGACAGCTAAGGCTCGATACTGGAGATAAATTTACAGAACATAGAGTGAATAAATAAATCCATAAATAAATGACCACCGATAGATCGATCAATGAATGAATCAATAAAACGAATTGATATATCAATAAATGAATTAGGGAATTAATATAGTACAGTCGTTTGCAAACATTCTGACCGCTAACTCATATCATGATATCAGGTGGATCATGGGAATTGTTATCTTTTCTCGGTAAAACAGATCGCAAAGTATTCAAGTACAATACTCAGTCAAATACAAACGTTTATTTATAAAATATGAGATATGAGAGTTACCGTTTTAACTTTGGGGGAGGGGGAGTTAACTTTTAGCTACACTATATATTGATGTTGATGCATATGTTAGCAGCCAGAATGTCTTATTAAAATCAAGAGGTGTAGACAAATAGTTTTAACAAGCACTGAAATGCATTTTATAAGTATTGAATAGAACTGCATTTGGCCAGTAATAAAACTTGATAAGCAGTTTAATCTATTAACAGTACATTTTTATGGATGATGACATTTGTCAATGAATTCGTGCATGTAATTTTAAAGCCGAGAAAAAGTGTGCCTTGCTATTTACAACTTGACAACTTCTGTCTTTTTATGAATTTGAACCTCTCAGCCTTTTTAAAAAACAAGTATAATGAACAAATGCAAAAATAACCTATATATATGAACATAGTTTCCCAAAACTGGTAATAAAATAAGTAATAAATAATAAGTTTCTAAATACCTGTAGGGATTATGCAGATTGCTGCCAAACCAAGAAGCATGTAAATTCTCATTTTGTCTGGCTGTGAATGAAGGGGATCCAACCTGCATAAAAAGAACAGCATTCGGCCATTTTGTTTATTGGGAAACAAAAAGTAAAACATAAAAGACGCTTTTACAAAAAAAAAAATGTGAAGTGTACTATAAATGTCAGGAGTTTAATCGCCAAGTTTTATCAGTAAAAATCAAATAAAATCCTTTGAATGACGGCAAAACGATGGCTACGTTGAGCGACGCCGACAACATTCTTCTGTAATTACTCAGATTTATTGTTACTGCAAAACTGACCATTATGTACAAAAGAGAATAGTCGCGAAGCTAATGTCCATTGATATTTTCTATGAGAGGGAAAATATGTAACAGTTTACATTTGCAGCATTCTTTTCGGTTAGATTAGTAAATATGTGAGTCCATTTGTGGAAGTTCAGCATCAATGATTCATCATCCAAATCATCCAAACGATTGCAATTTTGAAGGCTTCTTAAGTTCACTTGCCTAAACGTTATTTCAATCAATAAATCCATCTTTTATGTAATAAGCACTTCGCATTTAATACAAATAAGTGATTTTTCAGCAAAAACGTATTTATGGGTTTCTACACAGCAAATATTTGCTGATGTCACGAAAGGTGTTTGGGCTCTTTAGCGAGTGCTGTTACATAACTATTGGTCAAACTTCGAATACTTGGTCGAATACTTAACCTTAACAGTGCTTTTGAAGAGTTTTAGCTGCTTTGATGAAGTTTATATCGAAAATTGCTCTGTAATATTACATTTTTGTTACTGTCCGCTGCAGCAACTTTATATAAACTTTCTTCACAACATGCCCACCATTTTGAACGGAAAAACGCTCTATAATTCTAAAATTTACCCTATAAAAGTATCCATTTCTACTACAAAACCGAGAATATGGTAAAATATCTAACATAGATCTACTTTAAAGTCGTTATCAAAGCAAAATTCGTCAATTTTATTCTTAGAAAAAATCTTCGCGATGCAACTGCAAACAATGCTATTAACCACGTTACACTCTGACGAACGCTTTGCCGGTCAAAACTGACCTCAACTTCTCTCAAAAACAGGAAATTTACGTTCTGTAACGATTCAAAACGATAATCACATATAAGAATGATCATTATAGTTTTTATATTCGTCTAAAAAACTATTTTAGTGGATATGTTGTGACTCATTTGCATGAAATTGAATCATGGTCTTCCATCACGAATTTCGTACCCATCTTCCCCCAAAACTCATACTTTTGAAGAAACAAACCCTTACCTTTCAAATTAGAATACAATTTGGTAACTTTCGCTGAAGGTTTTAGAATAATTCAGTAGAATTCCACTGAGATATCGTCAAGTTACGCGTTTAAAGCTTTACGCATCGCCAGTCATTTAGAAAGAAAACAAGAAAATTTGCAAGTATAATTGCTTTTGTCAGCTCGACTAAAAAATGCGCCGTCGCGTTATTAACGGTTTTATTTTGTTTACTGTCAGGTTCACCTTTTGTTCAGATTAATATTGCAGTAAAATGCTGCGTGTATTAAAAACACAAACTCATAGAAAGAAAGCTGGAAACCTTTTCCTAAAATGACGATTAATAGTATCCATCAAACTATGGGCGATCATAAATCCAGCATTCTGATTGGCTACTGAACTATGGTATATTCATGCATCGAATGAAGGGAAATTAGCCGTCTGTCTGTCCACATTTTCAACATGGCGAGAGAATCGTGACAACAACAAAAAATAGAAGGCAAGCATATTTCTTCCCTCAGAGCTCTGCTATTGCGTTTTATCATAGTTAATATTAACTATGCTTTTACATAATAAATTTGTATTCTTAAACTACAACTGAAACGGTTTATTATTGAAAATGGATGAATTTAGGATGAATTTAGATACTCCTGACCTGCTTTCAATAGCTCATCTTAAAGTTTACCCAAAACACAGACTATACTAAAAAAATATCCTTTTGGAATGCCTGTGCCTCACTCCAGGTCTCCAGTGATATCTACTACGCATGGGTGACAAAAAAAAACAGCGCTTTTACCATTATTCAGAGAATGGCTGGGAAAATGAGCAGTAAAGTAACGCGAGAAAGAACAAAATAAATGAACTGATTTTGAATAATATGAATGATGTACATGGTCTGTGATAGCAAGAGCCTCTGCACTGAGCAAGCGGGACAACAAAAGAAGACTCTGGTGCTAAATGATACCGCCAAACGATTATACGTACAAATGAAACTGAATTTCCTTGTTATTGGTCCTGTCACTGCTACTTTTTTCTCCGTCATTCAAACGCAAATTTGCACCAAGAAAGCACTCTTTGATCGTCTAAAGCCACAGGAAGCCCAAAAAGTACACAGGAAACCCACACTCGTTAATTTTCTTCTTTAGTTAAAAACATAATGAAACTCTTGCATTTCTTTGAAATTATTAATTTTGAAAATTCTAAAGACTTTCAGCTTTCAAAAAAAGTCATTTTAATTCAGTGGATGAGCAGAATAGCTTTTATTATGAAGCTTCCGAGTTTTGTTTCACTTAGGGTAGAACCAACCAATGACCAGGGATGTTCTTAGGAACTTGAACAATTATCATGTAATTTATATTCTGCAGAAAAAAAGGAAACCACTACGGGGACATCAGAAACATAGCAAACGCGAAAAGCGCGAACGAATACGGCAAAAAGTCAAATGAAATTTAAACGGTTTACATCTATTCATATAGATWTTACTCAATCCCATGATGACGTCACAAAATCCGTACGATAAATTTCAACATCAACAAAATAGAAATTAATTTAAATTCTTATATATATGATATGATTTGCATGAGCAAACTGCTCTTTTATTCATCATTAACTTATCAACTGCTAGCTACCAGTATTATCAATGGATATTCAGTATTATCAAAAAAGTATTTTCTGATTGATAATTCAGTATTATCAATTTTTTAGGTAGCAACAGCTTATTGCGTAATGCTTCTGCCATTTTCCGTCGACATTTTCTTCCAGCGATGTTTCCATCACATATTTAATTACTTCTTTATGCCTGCCTGCTCCAATGGCTGAGGGTTTACAAACTTGATTGCCATTAGTCGTGAAATACGTCGCGAAGACATTTTTTTCACTCAGGGCTTTACACATAGCAGGGGCTAGTTCCAAGTTGTTCTTCTCTGTGACGCGAAACTACGAGAAAATCAAAAGATCCTCGTTAATTTCTGATTGGCTGACTGGGGACTTTCGATAAATCCGTGTCAATTAGATAAGCCTATCCCGGCATGGTTTGCAGGTGTGCACACTTCCGTTTATCAAAGACTCGTATTTTCGTCGCTGTGGACTTTCACTGAATCCTTGTAAATTAGATAAACCTATCCCAGCATGGTTTGCGGTGTTGTATGATTGCGTTTATCAGAGACTCTCGCTTAGACTTTCGCTAAATCAGTGTCAATTAGATTAGCCTTTCACGAGGCATGGTTCACAGATGTGCACGATTGATGCGTGCGGTTCTTTTCATTAATCTTTCTTGAACTGTGGAACTTCCTCTACATATCTAACTAACTACCTTATTAACTTTACTATAACAGCATGAGGAATACTATGTGTGATATGAGAAGCAAAACGCATTGGCTAATAATTAATCTTCACATCAAAATAACGTCTGTATTAAAAAAGAATAGATATATAAAAATTCCTATTTCTTTATTTTTGAAGGATTGCTAGTTACTCTAATCACAAGCCCCCATAATTCCTGTGTACGCCGTTAATACTGTGACTGGAATGTAAATACGTCTTCACTCTGTCTTACCTCGTGAACCTGAACCGCATTTGCCTGGAAAGTACAGGTTAACCCGAGAATGAAAAGAGCGATCTGAAGGGGTGTTCCAAACTTCATTTCGCAGTTTGCTTTACAGGATCTGAACTGAGGATCTAAAATAAGAGAAAGAATTGGAATAAATATTTTTAAGGGACTGCGCAACAATTATCAGGAGGGGAGTTGAGAATCCACAAAGGGAGGGGGGGCAAAATCTAATTTTATGTGTTTAAAGAGGGAAGAACCGTCTAAAATTAACTAGAACTTTAATTGAAAACTGAAAATCAACGTTGGCAGATTCCATTTTAGGCAAAACCTCTCAAGAAAGGCATGCCAGGATTTGCGGCAACTCTTTATTTTACGAAGGTTTAAAAACGTTACATTTTTTACCTAATATGTGTTTTCAGAAATTAATGATACACAATTCTTGCGTTTTGTACTGATATATACGCCAGATTCGAGATCTTATTTACGATGATTTAAGATGTGTAATATTATAAAATAAATATTGCATAAAACGCGCATTGTTTGTTTGAGATGTACACAAAGCCGTGTTGTCTTCTATGACGCCTTTGAAAATAATATGTACTTATTGGCTGAGTTGAAGGGCCGTACGGGAAAATATTTGGCTCGAGGTTATGCCGTACGGAACGAGCGCAGCGAGGTCCGTACAAAGGACCGAGAGCCAAATATTTTCCCGTACGGCCCGACCTAACTCAGTCAATAAGCATTTTATCATATGACAGCGTTTTTTAATGTAAAAAAATAAAAGCGCGCGGAACTTCAAGCCGGGACGATACGGGTTTGTACGGCTGGGCCCTGACGCGAAAAGGCGTACGGCCCCCATCACGTGACCATTTCCCAAAGGTTTTTTAAGAGCGTGCATAGGGTCGAAATACGGGTCATATGATAATGTTTATGACTCCGTACAATAAACAGCAAAATGTTTCAAATGAATTGAACGAATGTCAAAGAAGTTACTTTTCTAATCTAAGATACCCGTTGTATGAGTTTATCAAAACAATACATTCGCATTCTCGAGTCGAGCTACGCTCGTACATTCACTAGTTTGGCTACACTCCGCCCGCAACATTGCCGAAATAATGTAATTTTCACATACTTTTTTTTATTATAACTAACATATACCCGAAGTATTTCTGATTGAAGAAATTCCAACATGTCATTCATTCTTATTTTAAATGTGCTCTCCATACATTCAGTGTAAATTAAACTTTAAAAAAAACTTTTGGTCAATTTTTTTGTAAACTCGTGCGGAATTCAAAAGAAAGCATAATTTCGCCAAAAAACTACGATTTTAAACAGACAAGAATTATTTTCATCGAGAATTACCTTTGACAAAAGGTGCAATTGTTTGTCACTCCAACTCGTGGTTGCTTGAAGTCAACTCCCAATATGTTCCATAATAACTAACCTATATTGTACCTATCACTATTTTAGTGGAATATTATTGGCCAGGAACAGTCACATGACTGCAACATTTGTGTTGTCAATGCTACAAGAAATACTCAAAAATATTATTATGAATTATTGTCGGTCAACTGAACTTCTTGTTAAGAATGTATCAATTTAAAGTTTTTCAAAAATTTCCTCAAATGCGTAGAAATATCGTTAAAAGTGACTTTGATTTTTTTATGATTTAAGAATCGTAAGTTTTCTTTTGTCATCTGAAAACTTTGAATACTGTGTACTACATAGTGCGTTCCAAGACTGCAATGCATTGTTACTAATTAAATTAAAGTTTGTTGCTCCCCTACAAAATGACAACTTAAATGCTCAGCTTTCCATTACAGTTCTTTACAGTCCATTTCAAACCACGAAAACTCCTTTTGAACGTCGATAGGACAATCAACAATGCATTTCGGTCTTGAAGTACACAATTTTCAGTATTTAAAGTTTTCTGAAATGACTGTATACACTACATTTGCAATACAGTCAAGGCCTAAAAGCCTGCAGATTGAGATATATACTTACATATACAATGTAACAGGGGCCATGAACAGGCCCGCAGGCTGCCTTACAAATGGGGGGGGGGGTCTTTTTACATAATCCAAACCTAAATTACATGTTTAACTAGGTTAGTTCAATGCATAGCTATAGTGTGTGCTAGAATGAGCTGTTCATAACTAAATACTATCTCAAAAACATTTCATAACAAAATAATTTTAAAATAGAACAATAAAAAAAGAGAAAAACCCGACCTTTTAAGCTTGTGGGGGGATTCGTTCGAACCTCCGAAGAGCCACAGCCAACGGGCCTGATGGAGCACATTTTTAGTTAAGTGGGCTAACGACCACCAAAGGCAGGATTAAGTAGGGGGCCGAAAAATGTTTGAAATTTTGAACCTCGAAAATGCGATTTCCAGCATTTTGTGAGGCCCCCAAGAACATATTTTATGCAGTAAATGTATGAAAATATTCCTTGACACTGCAAAGTATTCAAAACAACATCTTATTTTGTTCCAGAAATTATTGGGAGGTCTACAGCCCCCACTACCAACCCTGCNAGATACCCGTTGTATGAGTTTATCAAAACAATACATTCGCATTCTCGAGTCGAGCTACGCTCGTACATTCACTAGTTTGGCTACACTCCGCCCGCAACATTGCCGAAATAATGTAATTTTCACATACTTTTTTTTATTATAACTAACATATACCCGAAGTATTTCTGATTGAAGAAATTCCAACATGTCATTCATTCTTATTTTAAATGTGCTCTCCATACATTCAGTGTAAATTAAACTTTAAAAAAAACTTTTGGTCAATTTTTTTGTAAACTCGTGCGGAATTCAAAAGAAAGCATAATTTCGCCAAAAAACTACGATTTTAAACAGACAAGAATTATTTTCATCGAGAATTACCTTTGACAAAAGGTGCAATTGTTTGTCACTCCAACTCGTGGTTGCTTGAAGTCAACTCCCAATATGTTCCATAATAACTAACCTATATTGTACCTATCACTATTTTAGTGGAATATTATTGGCCAGGAACAGTCACATGACTGCAACATTTGTGTTGTCAATGCTACAAGAAATACTCAAAAATATTATTATGAATTATTGTCGGTCAACTGAACTTCTTGTTAAGAATGTATCAATTTAAAGTTTTTCAAAAATTTCCTCAAATGCGTAGAAATATCGTTAAAAGTGACTTTGATTTTTTTATGATTTAAGAATCGTAAGTTTTCTTTTGTCATCTGAAAACTTTGAATACTGTGTACTACATAGTGCGTTCCAAGACTGCAATGCATTGTTACTAATTAAATTAAAGTTTGTTGCTCCCCTACAAAATGACAACTTAAATGCTCAGCTTTCCATTACAGTTCTTTACAGTCCATTTCAAACCACGAAAACTCCTTTTGAACGTCGATAGGACAATCAACAATGCATTTCGGTCTTGAAGTACACAATTTTCAGTATTTAAAGTTTTCTGAAATGACTGTATACACTACATTTGCAATACAGTCAAGGCCTAAAAGCCTGCAGATTGAGATATATACTTACATATACAATGTAACAGGGGCCATGAACAGGCCCGCAGGCTGCCTTACAAATGGGGGGGGGTCTTTTTACATAATCCAAACCTAAATTACATGTTTAACTAGGTTAGTTCAATGCATAGCTATAGTGTGTGCTAGAATGAGCTGTTCATAACTAAATACTATCTCAAAAACATTTCATAACAAAATAATTTTAAAATAGAACAATAAAAAAAGAGAAAAACCCGACCTTTTAAGCTTGTGGGGGGATTCGTTCGAACCTCCGAAGAGCCACAGCCAACGGGCCTGATGGAGCACATTTTTAGTTAAGTGGGCTAACGACCACCAAAGGCAGGATTAAGTAGGGGGCCGAAAAATGTTTGAAATTTTGAACCTCGAAAATGCGATTTCCAGCATTTTGTGAGGCCCCCAAGAACATATTTTATGCAGTAAATGTATGAAAATATTCCTTGACACTGCAAAGTATTCAAAACAACATCTTATTTTGTTCCAGAAATTATTGGGAGGTCTACAGCCCCCACTACCAACCCTGCYCCTTGTTCTCTCTAAAMTTTGAAGCCTGCACAGGAGGAGCCGACGGGGTCTGTTCTTATAAATARCTGTTCTTGTGTTACAGGGTTTCTTGTCTTGTAACTGTGGGATTTACTCAGGAAGAGCCGGTACTGGATCAAAATATACTTAATACTAAACCGAGATAGTTTTAGGTTAAATTTAGAGATGAAACTTTAAGGCAGAAGATAGCTCTAACAGAGAACTAACTTTCTATCAAGTTATATTATGATGCTACAAGGCTTTAAACTAGCGAAGGGCGTCAGGGGTGCGCTTTGAGTCATAAGGGCACAGGGGAGGAGCTTATCTGAAATTGGTGCAATATTACATTGCTATAAACCACGTGAGAGTATCCTAGGTGATAAAGTGGAACCTGAAATGTGGTGCCTTGTAGTCTCGTTATACTGTCAAACTTATAGTTCTTATCTGGCATCTTAATGGAATATTCGAAATTAAAAATAGGGATTGAATGGCAGTGACAACTAAGAATCACAAACTGTAACTAGACTTTAAATTAGTTAGGGTACACATCGTTAAGTAAAACAGTGTAGAAAACCTATAAAATAGTAACCTAAGTTATATTCCAGATAAATGTATTGGAATACTAATAGACGTTAAACAGCTAAATGAAACGTGATGTATACGAAACAAGGAAACAAATGTCATATTTTATATCTAATCAAAATTATGACAAGATAAATATTTGTGATATTAATGCAAGAACGCAGGTGGAACTTAGGGTACCTTAATGTCTGACTTACTAGAAAATGTCCATGAATATTAATTTACAATGTTGTCTTATAACACTTGTACGAATTTTTTCCTGGGAAAGAGATTTTTAGCTACATTGTTGACAATCTCACAAGCAAATGTGGCGCCCTTCCTTCTTTAAAATAACAATTTTGTTCCTGGCAAACGTTCTAAGGTTAAAAACGGCTTATATTTTTTTAGTTAGGAAATTTTTATTTTCCTGGCAAAAATTCTTAGAAAGTATTCCTTTCTATGGAGAGTTCTTTTTTCCTTAATTTCTCGCTGGCAACCAGTTGTGACTTAYAGCTGGCTGGGACATAAGAACAGATATGTTTCTCTCAGGAACCCATCGGCTCCTCCTACCTGCATCTATTTGTGGTACTTGTCCAAATTTTATGATTTTTAACTCGAAGATTGCGAAGCAATCGAAGAGTTATTGGAGGGGGACGAGTCTGTCACTCACTCAATCACTCAGTCACTCAGTCACTCAGTCACTCAGTCACTCACTTTCCTGTAAACTTGAGCCTGCGTTACTTCAGGACTATTCAGAACTATTAATTCATTCTCATTGTTTTCTAGTAATTTATTCATTAATTTGCCGTTACCGGTTTCCCTGTAATAAATAATTAAGATTGTAACTAAAAAGAAAACTGTTTTCATAAAATAATGTAAAATTTTATTTGAAAAGTAATTATAATTTGATTCGACATACCGTTAAGTCACAAACGTCGAAGCAAGCAAAGAAGACTGGACGATCCTCCAATTCCGTTTCGAAAATGATTGTACGAAGGTGCTGGCCTGTGCTTATCGAGAACCCAAGTTAATATTAAAATGAAACAATGAAGACTCTGTCGTAGAATTTTCCAGCTCTACGCATCTCGCAATCAAAGAGACTGTAGTCTTCCTTGTACTCCTTTATACATCGACGTCCAAACACTTCTGAATTAAATTTAAAACATGTGCTTAAAGAATATGAATATTCATCTGCAGCACATCTGTTGTCTATAGATACTTATGCAAAATTTCTTTGCGTACTTACTTTGACAGTTTCTTTGTTATCTAGGTTGATTACTAAAATGACCACACTTATGATTTAACAAAAATGTACAAGAAACACAAATTTCTCTCTCCAACAGAATCAGATATTTTAAGAAAATGCCCCTTTTGCTTTGTTAAACCGGATACTATTTGACTGTTTTATGGTACATGTGAACTTGTTTTTTTAAACAAAATTCTTGTTTGACACACTAAAACCAAGATTTTCAAATGAAACATATTTCGTCTATTGACCTTTTCAATCATTGATACGTTACTAACTCTTGGATGATCAAATTCTTAAGAAAATTTCTATTTKGCTGTTTGTTGAAGTTTCTATTGTTTGCTTTAATTGAACTCCCGAGATATCGATCGTTGCGGTTGAGGCGAAGTTGTTTTTACTTGGGGATTGTTATTATTGCGTTTTGATACTTGCGGTGATTTTACATAGTTTAATCTGGCTAGACTGGGATCCAGAACCGAAGTTAAATTAATAAAATATAACGAAAAAACAAACTATATTCATAAATCATCAGATACTCAAAATTCTATTTGTCAAGTAATTATAATTCGATTCATCGTATCGTTCTTTATTCGTCTACACAATCTTCGAGTTGTGTTGCCATTGGCGGCTTGATTTTATAAGCACTTACACGAGAAAAAGTCCAAAATCTCACCATTTTACAAGTACAAAATGGAAACAAAACGCAAAGACGGCTGAACAGACTTTCATTTCTCGTGTATGCATTTGGACTATAAGTTTTCCATGCGTTGCTCATGTCAACCAAGCCTTAC